TTCAATTTGAACTTCGATATGAGCATTGATGTGTCTGTTCTTTAGTTGGACCCTGCGCTGATTCTGATTGATGATATTAAGCTGCTCCATTGTCTCTTTCCACAAATGTCCGTTTGATTCCTGTGTATTCCTTCTGGTAAGTTCCATGTGTATAGTCACTGTTTATGTTGTTCAAAGAAGGTATATGCAATGAGTAAATATCTGGTCTTGCAAGATTCTGTCATGTGATCTCCAGCATCATTTCTATCACCATGGCTGTATTTTCCAACTAATGCTTCAGAGAAGTGGTGCAGAGTATATACAGAATTTAAGAATTTAATCTTATTTTCTCATGTTGTTGTGTGCCATCGAGTTGGACCCAATTCATAGTGATCCCTCCCCCTCCTTGGGTTTCCGAGGAAGTATCACTATGGAAGTAGATTGCCCAACCTTCCTTCCAAGGAGTGGCTAGTGGGTTTGAACCACCAGCCTTCTGGTTAGCAGTCAAGTGCCTTAGGCACTATGCTACCAGAATTTTACCCTTGTATTATCAAAGTAAAAGTAATATTCTCCCATGATTGAAGTAAAACAGCCACTTGGTAAAAGATACATTAAATCATGTCTATATGTTCACCTTTTAAATGTAGCATCTGATACCACAGACATTATTAGTAAAGGTTTGTGTGTGCATGTGTGTGTGATAAAAACAGACACACCAAAACATTTGCCAGTTCAAGAAATTCTACATGTAAAATTCAGTGACATTATCTTTTTCATATTATGCAGCCATTGCCACTATCCTTTTCCAAATTTTTCCACCACCATTAACATAAATTCAGTAGCCCCTATGCAGAAATTCCCCTCCTTACCACCTCTGGTAACCAGTAATAACCTTTGTTTTCTATATATCTGCTTATCTCATATATGTGAGATTATACAGTATTTGTCCTTTTGTACCTGACTTATTTCACAGGGCATGTTTTCTAGGTTCATCCCATATTGTGGCTGAGTAATACTCCATTCTGTATAAATGCAACATTTTGTTTATCCATTCCTCTGTTGAAGAACATTTAAGTTGTTTCCACTTTTTGGCTACTGTGAATAGTGCTACATTGAACATTGGTATACAGGTTTCTGTTTGCATTCCAGTAATAGTTTAATCAACAGAGTTTTATTTTACAAGTCATTGCTGTTTCAGACATACAGGATATCAGACTGTCAAATTTTTATTTCAGAATAACTTACAATTTGTTTGACCTAGTATAGAAAATAATTCCAATTAGTTCATTAGCCCATTGCTTGTTCAAAAAAGTGTATGTACAATTATAATTAGGTAAATAGAATACACTGTTCATAATCAATATTTTTTTCTTTAAAAAAAATGTATCAGGAATCCAAATGTATTATAGAATCTTGTTTAAGTGTATCCTAGTGGGAATTATAATAGTTCCTATCTGATACATATAAAAGGTTATTTAAAAAAAAAACTTGTTTACCCACCAAACATATTAAATAAAATGTTAAAGCCTCCAGTGTTCCTCCCCCTTACTCCCAAAGGAAACCACCATCTAAATTGGTATTTATTATTCTCATTATTTATTTATACTAATACTGTATATGCACATTTGGAAGGAAGATTGGGCAATCTACTTCCATAGAGATACTGCCTTGGAAACCCAAGGAGGGGTTACTATTGGAACCGACTCAATGACAATGAGGTTTTTTTTTTTTTTTTTTTTTAAATATGTACTTATGCCTAAATAATAAATGGTATGAAATTTCACATTTTAAAACTATACTTTTCAGTGTATGTTTCTTGCAATTTACATTTTCTCTCAACATCATGAGATTCATTCATGTTAATACATGTAGCTCTCATTTTTTCATTTTCATGAATCCTCTCAATTGTCTGAGCTGCTCGAGTTTTTAGTTTCAGTTATTATATTTTTAAGTTCTAGAATTTCCACTTCATGGTTTTTGTAGTATCCATTTCTCCGATAAAGTTTTCTATTTTCTCATGTTATTAGATATATTAATCATACTTATTTTATACTATGTCCGAGGACTCCAATATTTAGCTTATCTGTGGATCTGTTTCTTATGTCTCTTTGTTTTCACCCTTAGTTCTCAATTATAAGTGCTTGTTTACTGCTGTGTCTGGTAAGTTTTGATAGAATCTGAACATTGTTATGAAAAATTGTACAGATAATTGGTGACTGTCGCTCAGAAGTCTACAAACTGTGGCCTATGGACCAAACGTCTGTCACTGCTTTTTGCCTGGCCCTCAAGTTAAGAATGTTTGCTACAGCAGCCATCTAAGGTACAACAATTGACCTCTATTCACCTGGAGCAACAGAAGAAAGAAGAATCAGGAATAAGAGGAGGAAATGGAATGTGTGGCCAATTCCCTCCATGAACAGCTGCCTCCTTTATCATGAGACCAGAAGAAGTGGATGGGGCCCAGCCACCATTACTGAACATTTTGATCAAAGATTCTATAGAGGAAACCTAATCAAAGAGGGAAAAATGCAGAACAGAATTTCAAATTTTCATGGAATCCAGATTTTCAGGAACCATACAGGCTGCATGAACCTAAAATTATTGCGCTGTGATGATCATTAAGCCTTAAACAAAAATATCCCCTGGAGTCTTCTTAAAACCAAACAGTAGTTTAGCTTAATTAGTAAAGGATGTCTGCTTTGAACATTGTGCTCTTTTAAGATCTATCTTTTCTTTATAGTATCAAATTGACAATAACAACAACTCAAATAATTAGAAAACTTTGGGGGTAGTGAGTTTATGTTAATGAAGGAAGAACACCCCAAAAGGAGGGTGAAAATCAGAAGAATGTAATCAGTGTCACTGAATTATGCATGTAGGAATTGTTGAATTGGTGTGTGCTCTGCTGTGCATATTCTCAACAACAAAAATATATATATAAACAATGTTATATTTTTAAATGGTTGAAAAATAATCAAAAGGAGAATAATTTGTAGTGATAATAAATTTAAATCTAAGTGGCCATAAGTACAGTTTTACTGGAATGTAGCTATACTCATTCATTTACATACAGTCTATGGCTGCTTTCACATTAAAACATTAGAAGTGAGTAGTTGTAATGGGGACCTAATGGCCTGCAAGCCTATAAAATATTTACTGTTCTGAACCCCTGCTCTAGCTAGATTAATTTCTCCAGAGAGGATTTACTTATGCAGGCCCTTAAATTATAAAGAAGATCACCTTGATCCATTCAAGGATTTACTTGATTCAAATCTGGTCTTTAATTTTTTTTTATTATTATTATTGTGATTTGGGTGAAAGTTTACAGAGCAACTTCACTTTCCATACAGCAGCTCACATACATTTTGCCTCATGACATTGACTGCAATTTCCCACAATGTAACAACTCCCCTCCCACTTCCTTCCCATAGTTATCTCTTCCCTGTGTCCTTCCCTCCCATGTACTCCTGCCTCCCAAGCTGTCGCCCTGTGCATACAGTCAAGTCTGGTCTTAAATTTGTATAAGCATTCATCAATTTCGAGTTCACCTCTATTCCTAGGGTATAGCCTATCGGGTTCCAGCGAAAAGTCTGATGTATGTACCTGGGCTTCTCTTCCTTGATGAGCCCAATATGTTGACAAGTCCATCATCTGTACTTTCTTCTTCCTGAGACTGTGGCCCTTCCAATCCTTAATACCATAGTAATTCTTTAATGCCTTAAATAGATTTCACATATATAATGTGTGTAAGTGTATGTGTATGTGAATATACATATCAGAAGTTCAAAGTGATGACATCTCATCCCTACTCCCAATTCTCCAATGACTTTTCACCTCATTTAGGACAAAGCAAGTCCTTATAGTTGTTTGCTAGGCCTTACATGATCTGAATGACCACATGAATCAGACTACAAACAGGTCTGAAGAGGCACAGGCTGAAGAAAGCACAAGTTTATTTTGCCACCAGGGCACTAGCACACTAACAAGTACAGGACTTATAATTTCAAAGGAATATACTGATGCTCAAAAACAACTCAACTTACTGCTGTAGAGTCAGTTCGACTCACAGCAAGCCCTCCTTGGGTTTCTCAGGTGTTATCTCTATGGAAGTAGATTGCCCAGTCTTCCTTCTGAAAAGTGGCTAGTGGGTTTGAACTGCCAGCCTTCTGGTTAGCAATCAAATGCCTTAGGCACTACGCCAATGCTAGTGGGAATAATCTGTATTTAAAGTTTTTTTTTTTTTCTATTTTCATTATTTTTTAATTGAAGTATAATTATTTATAGAAAATAATTCAAGCACAGATGTTAAACAATATACCTATGTACCAATACCTCAGTCGATATACAGAACATTTCAGTCACTATATAAAGTGTGTGCAAAACACATGCATCGAATACATAGTTTAATAAAACTATAGAAAGTTCCTTCCTTGCCTTTTCCAGTTAATCTTCCTCTACAAAAGCAAACACTGTTTTGTTTACTATCCCCATAGATTATATTACATTTTTAATTGAAAATCATACCACTGCCATAATTTTATATACTGTTAATGTATTTTCTTTGTTCAAATTTCACCTACTTCTCTGGATCCAGATTCTTAATTTTTTTTTTTCTTTTAAGGGCAATGCTTGTTAATCTACTGGTCCAATTTATAGTCTCTGATGAACAGAAGCTGTACTAACATAAATGGTCATTGTGATTAGTTAACACAAGTAACCTGGTCTTTGGGAATACTATTGAACTAAACAACATAAAAATTAATACCTAGAATCTTAACCCTTATATTTCCATGGCAGGTCATGTACATTATCACAGTCCTCAATTGCCTTTGGAAGTAGGCAGGGGGAAATGGTATTTTCAGTTTATGAATGAGGAAAAGATTCAACAAGTATCTATATGACTTACACAAAATTCGCCAGCCATTACCTGGTGGTGCTAGGACTACATTTTTTTTCTTTTGTTCATTCCATAATTTTAGGCTGCACATACACAAGGAAAGAGCCAGCATATATTCCACAATTCAATTTTCTTGTTTGTTCTCTGAAAATTCATAGGTTACCCATTCCTTCCATCCTCCAGCATAGTGTTGAGCACTGAAAACATACATGAAGTAGTTTGTCCTGTCAACATTTTTTTTTGCTTTATAACACAAGATTAAAAGTAAATAGTGTTATGGCTACTCACCACACATTTAGGCCTTAAGCATATTTAATAGATTGTATTGAAAATACAGGAACAATAGACTCTTAGTCTCACTATTCTGCCATTACTAGCATAGTAATTATAAGAAATTCTTAAACAGACCAATAAAAATGTAATACATATGAAATATTGCAATAAACATTCTTGACTCTATTTTTCATGCTTCATCTACATACATACCTGTTAAAGCCCAAAGATATTGCTATGTCCAAAGCCTTTTTGCTTCTCACTCCAGCTAAACAAGAAAACACTAGATTGTCAGATTCAGATGGCTTGACTTCATTGTACTTGTCTTTGAAGTCTCCTGGATTCATCTGTAGAGCCTGCCCTACCTCATCCACTGAAAGAAAATGTTAAGAATTTCATTTTATTTTGGACCCAGTAAATAATATCTAGTAATATATCTGCTTAAGCTTAATACATGAGTCACTTACGGGGTATATTGATGGACCCAGGGATTTTTCCATATTCAAGAATTTCCCATTTTTCTCTTACATCAATTAACATAGTGTTTTTGGAATTCAGCAGGTTTTTAAGTTCCTTATAAGTGACATCTTTAGAAACAGCAGTACAAAAATTGTGGCAACATCCATTTTTTGACTTCAAACCTGTAAAGAATAAGACATTTTAGGCATCTTCAAAATGACATTGCTATTAGTATTTAGAAAGTATAGGTTAAAGGAATTTTTCCACTGGTTCCAATTTTATTAAACTATGTATTCAATGCATGTGTTTTGCACACATCCTGACTCAAGTAGGATGCAGCCTATCCTGCCCTGGATGCCTAACAGCTATCCTTGTGCCAGCTCCATAGTCCATTGTCTCTAAAGCACTTAATTGAGGGGAGCTTATACATACCCAAAGGCGCTCCAGTGGTGTAGTACCAAACCCACCAGCTGCCCTGTGGAAGGAAGATGGGGCAACCTACTTCCAGTAAAGATTTACGGCCTCGGAAACTCAATGGGGGTCACTATGAGTCAGAATTGATCGATGGCGGTGGGTTTGGTTTTTTGGTATACATACCCAAGGAGCTCTGGTGGTATAATGGTAAAGGCATTTGACTGCTAACCTAAAAACAGAAGGTGAGTGGTTTGAATCTATCAGCCCACCTTGCGCAAGAAAGATGAGGCAAATCATAAAGATTTATAGCCTTGGAAACCCAATGGGAGTTGCTATGAGTCAGAATCAACTTGATGGCACTGAGTTTGTTTTGTTGTTGTTGTTGTTTGTATATACCCATTCAGTACATGGTAACTGAATTACAGAACTAATTAGTAACTCTTACCCTAATCCAAGTTATAATACTGATAAAATTTTAATTTCATTTCTTCTTGCAAACAAAGATAAGCCATATGTTACATATGGAGACCTTACATTTTAAACTACACTTTTAAGTGCTTACCACCACTGTTTCTATCTCCATTAAATAATTGGTATCATAATATAGTACTGGCTAATAACCCACAAAATAAAATAAACCCATGGGTCTATTCTGATATAGAGATACCATTAAATAAATTAATGGGAGAAGGGACCATTTTTCTTACATCAGAATTCCAGTTAACGAATGTAGATGGAGTAACAAATAGAAAACGATTAGGCAAACACTCCAGGAATAAACCCACTCCTCACTTACTGACATGTTTAGTTTTCAAAGATTACTTTGTTATGTGAAAATGGGCATTATGCCAACCACTCAGGAAAGGATCAAATCTGGAGATCCTGGATCGAGTGGGAGGGAAAACGTGGAACAAAATCCAAAAACTCAACAATGCCTAGAATTACTGGTCAGATGAAATCTGGTGAGACCCCCAATACTATGGCCCTAGAATACATCCTGTGCCTGGAATAAAACACACTCCCAGGAGCTGGTTCTCAGACCAAAAGTTAACAAGATGTACATGCAAACCACTCAACCCAGGATGACACACCCACATACTCTATGGTAATATATCCCTTAGAGCAATAGGCCACGGGGCACCAGAGAACCAACACTCAAACTGAGGAAATGCAGGACAAACAGGAGTGCATAAATATGAAGGGCACAGGGGGAGGGGTACAGGCTAGGGAGGGGAGGAGATTGGGTTAGGGTTGGACATGGTAAATGGAGAATGAAACGTTGAATATAAAACAAGCTCTAAAAATAGAAAAGATAAAATCAGCATTATATGAAAAGGGAGGATGACAACATCATTACATAACGGCCAAACCACTGAGAATCATGGCCCAGCCAAATTGACACTTAACATTAACCATCACAGCCAGCATTACTCACCTCGCACTTCACCATTGTTACTGCCAGGCTTACATTGTTAATGTGTAAAGTAGTCAGATAGTAAATTCTTTACTACTGTGGTAAATGAGAAATGTTAGATAACAAGATAGTCAATAAATGAGGTGTAGGTATATTTGTTGTAGGCTATTGATAGATGCTGAATTTTGATGCTAGATTTACTGGGTGAAAGTATGAGAAACAGGATAATATCTAACCACAAGAGTCTTCCTAATTACAAAGGGAGAAATCTGACAGATACCACTTTAACCAGTTAATCAAAGGTAATATCACCAGAACAAGACATACAGACTTTGTGTACCCCTTGATAGGGTGCACTGAGAAGGACATAACATTTTTATAGTAGTCTTGCCAAAAATGAATCTAATCAGAAGAAGATCTCAGGCAAACTCAATCTAAAAAAATTTCAATAAGGGAATGGTTATATTACAAGTGGTACATTTATACAATAAAGTATTTAATGTGAGCTATCCAAGATACAGTATTAACTGGTAAAAACTAGTTGGTGAACAATGTGTATAAACCAGATATTCTCAAACTTCCTTTGTTCATGATACCCTTAGTGTCTTCATAAATTTTTTAGTGTCCACAAACCAAGACAAATCCCTAATGGTTTTATTTATTAAGTAGTTAGGTACAAACAACTTGGTAAATACTTATTTCCTAAAAATTGAGTAGCTATTTGAAAAAAATGCTAAACATAAATTGAAAGAGAAGTATATTTTAATTTTATTTTTAAATAATAAGTTAATGGTGTGTGCCTATTGAGTCCTATACAACTTCTTAATCTTGGAATCAGATTAGACACTATCACCTTCATATCCACATTTATTTTCCCACATATATATATAGTATGTGGGGCTCTGGTAGCGTAGTGCCTAAGAGAGCTGACTGCTAACCACAAGGCTGGTGGTTCAAACCCACCAGCCACTCCTCGGAAGAAAGACTGGGCACTCTACTTCTGTAGAGATAACGCCTTGGAAACCCAAGGAGGGGTTGCTATGAGTTGGAATTGACTCAGCGGCAGTGAGTTTGGTTTTTGTTTTATATAATGTGTGCATATATTTGTATAAGTACAGAAAAGGAGATGTTCAATAGCATTAGAGGGGTTAGGTATTTTTACTCTTCATTTTTAAAAGAAAAATATGTGGTAGAATTATTGGTATTTTTTACTTTCTTTTCTGTACTTTTTAAGTTTTTCCCATATTCTGTGATGACCATGTTAAAAAAATAGGTTAAAGAAAACAAGGTAAACTTCTAAAGAAAACAGTTTAGGGTCGTTACGTAAATAACCATGTTCATTACCCATCCACCTCCCCATATCCCAGCTGTGGTTGCTGACTTAACCTAGGATTGGAGACCAGACTGAGCTGGAGACAATCGGAGTTTCATTCCCAGGATTTTTGAACTTGAATGGAGACAGAGAGCAAGTGAGGCTGGTGCAGTCACCATAAAGGCAGTGCCCGAAAGAGTCATCTGTTACTGCTGAGGTACTCAGAGCTCCCCGGTTCCAGTCCTGCCTTAGTTATCTAGTGCTGCTATAACAGAAATACCACAAGTGGGTGGCTTTAACAACAAATTGATTCTCTCACAGTTTAGGAGGCTAGAAGTCCAAATTCAGGGTGCCAGCTCTATGGGAAGGATTTCTCTCTCTGTTGGCTCTGGGGGAAGGTTTTGTCCCTTTTCAACTTCTGTTTCTTGGTTCCTTGGAGATCTCGTGTGGCACAGGGCATCTGTCTTCCTCCATCTGTGCTTGCTGCTGTATCTCAAAAGACAGTGATTTAAACACACCTCACACTAACACTAGGAGCTCTGGTAGCGTAGTGCTTAAGGCACTTGCCTGCTAACCAGACGGCTGGAGGTTCAAACCCACCAGCCACTCCTTGGAAGGAAGGTTGGGCAATCTACTTCTGTAGTGATACTGCCTCAAAAACCCACAGAGGGGTTGCTATGAGTCAGATCTGACTTAACAACATAACAACACATAACCACAACACCGCACTAACACTGCCACATTAACACAACAAAGAAAACCCATTCCCAAATGGGATTATAACGACAAGTATAGGGGTTTGGATTTAGTTTGAGGGGGGTGGGGTACAATTCAATTCATAAGTTCCAAACCTTCATTGTTTAGCTACTTCTTGATTTTGGAGAACTCTCCTGGTCCTTCCACTAAATCATCTTTTTAGCTTAAGCTCTCCAAAGTCAATTGTTTTGGCAACCATAAAAAACCAAACCCACTGCTGTTGAGTTGATTGCGAATCATAGTGACACATCCTTGGGTTTCGAAGGTGGTATCTCTATGGAAGTAGATTGCCCTATCTTCTTTTCGAGGAGTGGCTGGTGGGTTTGAACCACCAGCCTCTGGTTAGCAATCAAATGCCTTAGGCACTACCGCACCAGAGCTCCCAATATATGCTATTAAAAATAAATGCAACCCACTGCTGTAGAGTCAGATCTGACTCACAGTGACCCCTCCTTGGTTTCCGAGGCAGTATCACTATGGAAGTAGATTGCCCAACCTTCCTTCCAAGAAGCGGCTGGTGGATATATGCTATTAGCTGTTACAAATTAAGAAAAGGCAGAGTAAGTTGCAAAAATACCTTATATTCTTATAAAAACCAGACTTTTCTGTTTTCATATGTATCTTTCCTTGCCACACAACGTGATGAAAAAATTAAGAAATACCTGTGAAAGTTAAAAATACAGGTTTCCTCATCGTCTTCAAATTTGAAAAGTCAATCTTTTTTCTACAAGAAAATTAGATTTTAAAAACAGCTTGAATAAAACTATTTCTCATTCATTAGCTATTTCATGAATTCCTAGAATATAAAGCATTAGCAGGCTGAATTCACACTTGTTATTATTCCTCATTGTTAGAAACTGGAAAATTAAAGTAATAGTAGGTAGATTTTTATTATTATTATGTTGTGTTGAAGGAAAAAAGACCCCATATTTAAACATGTTCTATAGAGATGCTTTTACTAAGCTTTAGACAAGACAAAGACAGTCATCTAGGATGAGGGAAACCATCTGCCTGTACACGGTACAAAATCCAAATGGAGTCTACTGAATCATAGTCAAGTTGTTCATATATTTGCTAGAGTACAAAGAAAATCATCACAAGATCATGACTGGTGTTAGGTTAATTTATCAGTGTCATAGGTAGGACAAAGGGGAGGGGTATACCATTATGGGGATACACACAACTGAAGATTAAAAAGGGCAACAGGGTTGGTTTAGGGGGTTGACCACCTGGCTATGTGGTGATCCAGACATGACTTATGACTATGCGGCCCTGAGTCATAGTCACCAGGTGGGTACAAGACAGTACGAGGACCCCAACCTTTAATTTAAATAACATGGGGCTATTTTCGGTAACTCATTAAGGACACACCCAGGCAAGTTCCCAAGTTCTTTGTGCAAACATAGTCTACTTTCAACCATACTCTTCCTGAGGGTAAACTGGCTCTCTCTAGGTTTGTCTGGGACTTGTCCATGATAGCCACATTGCTAATTTAATGGTCAGAAAGAACTCAAATGTCGAGAAAGAACTCATGTCAAGACTCAAAATGGAGTTAGAGTGCCTACTGTAGACGCAGCCTTCCGTAACAAGTGTGCTTTAGAATTTAAGCTGTAATACAGTGTTAAACTCAAGATTCTGGCACTTAGCCTTGGAGATACACAATTTCAACAAGTAACATAGGTAACTGAATCAAAGATAGTTATATTTTCCTTGTAGTGTCACATCAAACCCATATTTAACTTACTCTAATTCAACTATACTCCAGGGCAAAAAAAAAAAAAAAAAAGTAATCAGTGAAGAATAGATTCCCAGCCTTTCCACTCAGTGAGCAAAAGCCTGAAGCAAACATGTTCCCTTAATGAGTCTCAGATGCCTTGAGCCTGACATGGTGTAAGCCTCTTCTCCACACTGATTCTATTATTTGAAGTGTGTTTTTTGTACAACATGGCTTCCACTTGTTAACCAACCACTTCATCTGGTGCTCAACCAAGCAGTGATTTGTTTCAACACTGAATAAAAACTGTTTGTTCTCTTGGGGGATTTTCAGGAGTAACACAGATTATACATGATTTTCACCTTTGGAGCCTAATCCTTGAATAAGCTGCAATTTACACTCATACATTTAACCTCACATGGATACTTCCCACAGTCTACATTACAGGATAAAGTGCAACCTGTAAGGTTCTATATGACCCTTGAACACACCTTACCAACATAATTTACCAAAGCTTTCTCCTCCTCCCCATTCCTCCTCTACCCCCAATTACCCTGTCTTCCAGCTAGATCAAAAGTATGTGTGCTCTAATGTGTATGAACTGCTGTATGGAAAATTAATTTACTCGGTAAACTTACACCCCAATCAACATTAAAAAGTGTGTGCTCTAAATATATTGTTATAGTGGAAAGAGTCACTTTTAAGACTCAGATAAACCTAAATTCAAATCCTGGTTTGCCACTTCTTAGCTTGTGACCCTGGACAGTTCACTCAACCTCACTGGGCCTTAGTTTTTTATTTGTGAAATAGGAATAATATTGCTTAGCATCTTAATGTTGCTGTGAGGTTTAAACAATGTATAGCATAATAAATTACCATCAATAAATACCTATTTCCACATTTCCTTCATGATTTATACACACTGATCCATCTGAAGGGAATATCTTTACCCCTCATTTCTACCTAGCACTCTTTTCCTCCTTAAAGACTCAGTTAAATGGTACATGTCACCTCCCCTTTTTATTCACCAATTTTACTTCTAGGTATCTATAGTAGTAAAATACTTGTACATATTACGTACTTGTACATATGCAACAACATAATGATTGTGAAACTGTTCATATTATATAGATAGATTTAGGGGCTAAAAAGAAGACTTAATGCTTTGTTTTATCTCTTTTTTCAATGGTGTTGTTGTGTACCGTCGAGTCACACCTGACTCATAGTGACCCCTCCTTGGGTTTCCGAGGCAGTATCACTACGGAAGTAGGATTGCCCAACCTTCCTTCCGAGGAGTGGCTGGTGGGT